CGGTTCAATCCCCCAGCACCACATGCCAGCCAGCCCCGCTGCCTGGTGGGCTGGGCTGGACACACACACACACATAAATAAATAAAATAAATTTTTTTTAAAAAGAGAAGAAATTCATGAAGACCAAACTACCACTCCAAATGTTCTGAAGGATAGTGTAGAAAGAAATAGCAAGTATTAAAGCACTATGAATTCCAACAGAATGAATCCACCAGGCAAGGCAAATAATTAAACAGAGAAAAAAAAAAAAGCCAACAGCAAGAATAAGAAATGACAAGAACAAGTCAATACATATCAGTTATAATGATCAATATTAATTATCTCAATTCATTAATCAAAAGAACAGACTAGCAGAGCAAAGCAAGAAGAAAGACGCAACAAGCTGCATACAAGAAAATACCTAATTGAAAATGAAATCCATAGACTCAAAGTCAAAGGGTGGAAACAATACTTAATGGGAGATGAACCTGGAAAAAATCACAAGTAGCTATTCTATGTGCAGAAAAAGTGGATTTCAAACCAAGAATGATTAACAGAAACAAAGAATGTCACTACATCCTTTAAGGGAATAAGTCAAGAGGAAGAGATAACAATCATAAGCATATATGTACCAAATACCACTGTATCCAGTTATAGAAAAGAAATATTAATGAACATGAAAAACCAAATAAGTGATAACACACTATAATTGGGGGACCTCAGTACCCCACTGTCACAAAGAGATGGATCAGCTGGTCAAAAAAAAAATCAATGATTAAATACTAAAACTGAACCAAACTTTTGAACAAATAGACTTCACAGATGTCAACAGAGTGTTCTACCCTACAACATCAGAATACATGTTGTTCTCAGGTAAGACTTTCTCCAAAATAGACCACATAATAGTTCACAGAACCTGCATAAGTTAAGTTCCAAAGGGATTGAAATTATTCCACACATATTATCAGACTATAGTGCAATGAAATTTGAAATTGGTGGCCAAAGAAACCACAAGAATTTCATAAACATATAGAAATTAAATTAGCTAACACCCTCCTGAACAATCAATGGGTCACAGTTGAAACTAAAGAAAAAATTAGACAGTTTCTATAATTAAATGATAATGCTAATACAACATATGAGATCTTGTGGGAAACAATGAAAGTAGCCCTTTTGGTAAAAAAAAGAAAATGATGAAATACTAGAACTGAAACACACTTCTGAACAAATGGGGTTAGTATATGTCAACAAGGTCTTCCACCCCACAACATCAGAATACGTGTTCTGTGGGGCAGTTTATAGTGGTGTAGTGGTTGATCAGTTGTGTCAACTTGAGAAGTTACAAGCTTAACTAAATTGGTTGAGCAATTCCATGCCCCGGGGTATGGAGCCCCTACTCTAGAGTGATTCATTACTTAAAGGCTATAAAAGGGAATTGAGGAAAGATGAGGGTTCTGGGAGGAGCTCCAGTCTTTGCAGTCAGCTTGGACATCGTCTTCTGGCTTCTAGCAGACTCTTTGGCATCCACCTTGGATCCATCAGCCTTCCAGTGTAGACTCATTAGCCTCCCATAACAGACCCAACACTTGCTGATACAGACTTCTCTAACATGCCCATTGGCCTCCTGATACAGACTTGCACAAAACACTGCATTGAGCTCCAGACCTTGGACTGAATCCTTCCATCTCCAGTGTGCAAACACCCTCGCATGCTTCCTTATCTGATTCTGTGGCTAATCATCATAAGCCAATCTTGTACTTACTTTCTTTCTTTCTTTCTTTTTCTTTATTTAGGACAGAGTCTACAGGATCTCATTATGCAGATCAAATTTGTGGTGATCCTCCTGTTTTCAGCCTCCCAAGTGCTGGGATTACAGGTGCCATACCCAGTCTCATTCACCTTCTCAGCGTACCCCAAGAGTGGGGCCAGCACCGCACATAGGAGATTGAGTCCCAGCTTCTGTGCTTTGCCTAAGCAGGTGCTTTAGTCCACTGAGCTATCAGGCTGGCCCATGAAATTTCTTATACATTTGTACATTTTGTGTTATATCTGTTCCTCTAGTAAAACCCTGACTGATACAAGAGATGGATACCCATATCAAAAAAACTCTAGGAGTTCAAAAAGACAACTTATTGTTTAGCTTCAAGCTTCTAAAAAAAAAGAGCAAGTTAAACACAAAGCTCCCAATATTAAAGAACTTATTGAAGATCAGAACAGAAAACAATGTTATAGGGATTGAAAATCAATACAAAGAATAAACGAATTAAAAAGTTGATTCTTTGAAATATTATACAAAATTGATAAGACTTTGGGCAATGCTAATTAGCAAAAGGAATGAAAAGACTCAAATCCATGTAATTAGGAAAAAAAAGGTGAAATTACAACAGATCCTACAGAAATCCAAAAGATCCTCTAAACCTATCCTTGTACCTAGCACTGGGCTCCAATCTTTTGACAGGTGTTATAGTGTATGA